CACGGGCGAATGCAGGGCCGCCGCACTCGGGGTCTGGTCGATCGGAGCTTTCGGACGGAGGCTGGAGTACCTATCCACAGGAGAGTATTGCCATCTCTGTGCCGTTCTCTTATTGGTTCATCAGTTTTAGGCTATCATGGAGCTCCAAAGTTTGCTCAATATAAACAAACTCGATCCGGAAGAACACGTAATGTCGGCTGAAAAATGAGTGATAATCACACTCCAATGCCGCAATCACACGCTGAATGTGGGAGTTGAATGTGGAAGTCGTCGGCCCGATGCCTGAATTTTGCGCGTCACGCGCAAAATTCAGTAACCATCGGACTAAAGTTGGATCCGTCTGAACTATTCGAGTAGAGGTGATACACATCTGGATGAAAATAACTCGAATTTGCGATATTTCAGCCGTTGGGCGATGACTGTTGACTTCCATATTCAGCTGCTGAATTCAGTGTGTGATTGCGGCAGAAGGTGAATTTTTGGCAAAAATATGCATCAAAGCTCGATCCGAACTCAATTTAGAAGTTGGATATAAATCTTTTTAGAGATAATATTTCCTATAGTTTCTCCATTCAGCTATGTGGTTTTAAAAATGAGCCAGAAGTAGCGGTACCTCAAGGCAAAATGTAGTCCAACTACTGTCTCCCACAGGAACACTCATAATGATTTAGAATGCAACTATTCGAACTCATAGGAAGTGTTCTTGCCTACACGATGAATTGAAGGCGGACTGCACTGCCGACAAACCAATCTCATTACTTCCTTCTAATTGTTATTGGTCGCGATCCTTAATTCCTCATGAGACCTCGATATGTGCTCTTTCCAAATTGATACTTCATGAATGTCCCATTAAGTTCGAGTTAAAGTAATGTAAAGTTGTATCACTCGCAGTTCAAAGATTCACGCGCACTAGTAGTTATTTTTACTCACTCCTTCCATGCTCTCTTAGTTCTCCCAACTATTGCGTACCTCATTCCCGCCAGTAGTGCATTCATTACTCCTCGGAGTCTTTTCAGGGCACACAGTGTCGGAAGGTCCTGACTAACTGTGCCCTCGAAATTATGTCACCTGCTTGATTGTAGAGAGAAGTGATTGCTCAAGGGTCGTTCATTAATTACATTCAATTACAAGCTAGTACTATAAAAGTACTTTGAGTTAATGACTTAGTTATAAGCACTACAGATTTGTATTTTGGTTGTCATATTACCATGAGATTTTCCTGTCGACAGTCCAGTTTGCCTTCAAATTATCGTAAAAGCAAGAACACTTCCAGTGAGTTCAAATAGTTGCTCTCTTGAGATTTATGCAAGCGCATCGTTGAAGATAGTTGGACTACATTTTGCAATAAGGAGCCACTATTTCCAACTCATCCGTAATGGCATTTTTTCTTCACGAAGAAACTAATGGCAAATAAAGTATGAATTCCAACAAACAGGTCCTAAAGGTCAGTCGAAATACGCCCTGAGGAGGAGGCTTAAGCAGGTCCCATAACGCGTTAGCTGAATAAAATATCAGTGAGTGAAAGTTGTGAGTTTACCGCTAATACACAATTCTTAGTAATGGCAAATACAAATATTTTTTCTGTAAAATTAATTATTTTTTCTTAAATGAATGAAAGTTTTATTGTACAGAAACTTTCTGAGGTCGAATGAATCTTTTATATGCGGTACAGGGTTGTGCTATGGTGGGTTGAATCCTACCGATTAGAAGGAAATAAGAAGATCGGTTTGTCGGCAGTACAGTTCGCCTTCATTTCATCGGGTAGGCAAGAACACTTCCGATGAGTTCGAATAGTTGCATTCTCGATCATTATACTTGTTCCTATGGGAGATAGTAGTTGGACCATATTTTGCCTTGAAGTACCACTACTTCTAGCTCATTTTGAAAAGCACATATCTGAATGGAGAAACTATATGAAATATTATCTCAAAAACAATCAGCTTTCTAGAATGCATTTGATGATTAGCACAACAAATTTTACGTGAAAACTATTTCAAATTATGCCTTTTTGGCCTCATGGCACATCTTCAATTGTCAGGGACTTTTACTCAAATGTATCAGGGATATGTTAGGGAATTTCATTTCACAATTTTTGTGGCAAACCTGGTATTTAAATCACCAATTCCTAACAAGTGCAAGAGCTCCACACGTGGGCTACAGAATTGTACACTGCCGTGCTGAGGGAGAACGGCGTATGAACATTCGAGAGTTGCCAAATTTCCCACGATAAAACATGTATTTTTGACAACATTTATGCATATTTTTCCACGAAACGTGAAGGGCTTTTAGATAAAATTACGAACAAAATACTCTGGAAACTAGCGAAATTTTTCGACGGAAATTAGGCAACGCCCGAAGGCTCATACGGCGTTTTTCCTTAGCACGGCAGTACAGAACACGGTCGTGAAGGGCATTTTTGGCGCTATAGATTAAATTGTGATTAAAATCCTGGAAAAATTGGTAGAAAAATATCCACAATTTTTCCAGGAATTTTTCATTTTGTTGAAGGAAATTTGGCAACGCTTGAAGGCACATACGGCGTTTTTCCTTAGCACGGCAGTGCAGAACACGGTCATAAAGGACACTCCTGGCGCTATAGATTAAATTGTGATTAAAATCCTGCAAAAAGAAATTGTTAGAAAAATATCCACAATTTTTTCAGGGATTTTATATTTTATTGGAGGAGATTTGGAAACGCCTGAAGGCTCATACGGCGTTTTTCCAGTACAGAACAGGGAGGTGAAGGGCTCTGGCGGCGATGTTTGGCCAGGAGCTAAAAGCACAGTGCGCCGGGGGGTGGACGAGGAGGGTGGGGGTTATCCCCAGTTCTGAAAACGTTGACCCGTCTCGTCTAGCTCTCTCGGCAAGTTTCGGGTTCTCGGGCGAAAATCGAGTCTCGGGGCTCGGAGCCAGTCGGAGCCGGGAGCCAGCAGTCGAGTTCCATTCTTGCGCGCGAGCGGTCCTTTCGCGATCCACGATCCGCGGAAAAGCCCGGTCGCGGATGCCAGTTTATCCGCGGTCCTCCCGCATCCGCGTCAGTGCCATGAGTTTCTCCTTCTTCAAGTACGGATTCCCGAGGTACCTCTTTTCCGCGTCCGGGTGAGTTCTCCCCCCTCGCTTCTTCCGTTTTCGACCCCCGGGAGTGGATACGTTTCGGAGTGGATTATGAGCCGGGAATTGGTGTTCGTCGAACTCATCGCTCGAGTGTGAAATTTGTGAAAATTCAGTTCCGTGCGCGCCATACGTGCTGTGTCCTCGCAAATGTTCGGCTCTTCCGAGCTGGGAATGCGCCTATTCCACACCCCTTTGCGGCTGGTGCAAATCCCGGACTCGTTTGTAAGTCCCTCAACTTTTCATTTTTAATCTAGGGGGTTCTTTTCCGGTATCATTCGGCGCAAAGAGCACCCACAAGTTCCGAAAATGGATCATTCCTCCAGTCATTGTGCGTGTAATAATGAATGGTTGTGTGCAACGTTCGTGGAAAATCGAAAAATATCAATGGGTCTCAAATGATTTTAAAAGAGTCTCAAACGTCAACATCAGTTACTCAATAAAAGTTTACATTTCCAGATGAAACTGGGCATAATGTGCCTCAATGTGGGGAAAACGTGATAATTGTACCTTAGTTTTAAGGGGTTACTTTTATTTGGCAGAAAAAACACACACAAGTTCTATAGATTGGCTCCTTACTCTTGCAGTCACTATGCCTTCATATAGTGTAAGCTCGTTTGTTTGAGGTATTATGAGACTTCGAAAACTTAGCACCGTCAAATGATACCAAATAATCTCAAACGCCAGCATGCATCACTAAAAATGGTTTTTGAACAAAAATGAATTTGCGTCACCTAAAGAGGTAGGCTCTTTTTAAAATGGATGGATATGATAGGTTACCTCAAAGCTATCAATTCGTGATAGGATCAGAAAAAAATATGCTTCGAGGAGATGAGGAAAATGAGATAACTATACAACGGCTTAACTCTGCATTGTTTGTTTGGCGTAAACAACACCCAAATATTGACCCTTTACCAGCAATTCAAAGTTTTAGGATGAGAAATTGGACATCTGGGAAAATTACTGTTAAAAATATTGCGAATGTTGTAGTCACCCTTTAAAAATATTTCAATTTTCTCCAAATTACAAAAATATAACAGGGCTCTGCATTGGACCCGCCATTTATTACAGAATTTCTGTCCAGGACTTAAACATAGTAAACCCATAGAGACACGTATCTCGTTCTGCGACGTCGCATATTTCTGTTCGTATTAAGTTCTTTGGAGAATGACCCATCACCGTTCAGGCTCGAAATTTTGAGGGATTATTCTTTTTCATGTCGAAAGCATACCATGAAAATTAACGCAAAAGAATCTCTCGAAGTGTAAAGTAAAAACAGAAATAACGAATCATGAACATTTGGATTGAAACATTTCTAGTTTCTCTCTCTACGAGAGTTTAATGTACAACTTGAAAAAAGGCTCGACTTAATAACAAAAATTAATTAATAAATCAATTGAAACTAAAGTGAAGATATTGGTCAAACAATATACCCAGAGCAGTAAATTTAATTTACTTTTAGCCTATCACTATTGATTTTTTACTTCGATCAAACATATTACACATAATGATCAAGAATGCAACAATTCGAACTCAAAGGAAGTGTTCTTGCCTACACGATGAATTGAAGGCGGACTGCACTGCCGACAAACCAATCTCATTACTTCCTTCTAATTGTTATTGGTCGTGATCCTCCATGCCTCATGAGACCTCGATATGTGCTCTTTCCTAAATGATCCTTCATGAATGTCCCATTCAGTTCGAGTTAAAGTAACTACGTGAAAATAATGATAATCTTAGTCCTTCTCATTCCTACTCTCCATCAGTTAAATTACATAAGGGACAGAGATTGAAATCACAAAGGTTACCATGATTCTTAGAAAATAATTTTTCTGCTCGTGAGTATGCAACTGAAACTAATTATCGTCATGCAATTTTGCAGTTTTTCAGATTCAGTTCCGTTCTTTTTGGGGTTTTTTTCGTGTACTTAAACGTTGTACTAATCATTCAAAAATTGAAAAGTTGAAAACTATCAAGTTGATTTGCGTTGAGCTTAAAAGTAACATGAGGTTGAGTTCCTTGGTCATGTATTCTAGCATCTGAGAAGCTGAGTCAAGGGGAGTCTCAGCGATGGAAAGAATTCTTAGAACTCAGCCACACGCTCATTTTAATCCATTTCCTTGGAAAAATATCAAAGAATATCCTAAGTATAGAAAAAGTTCACCTAGTTCTGGAGCTTACAGAAAAGTTCCCGTCAGTATAATGGATTTTTCCTCCGCGACGACCTCTACATGCATCTGCTCGTATGATAACTTTTTTATGCAGTATTTGTCCAATAGAAATGATCTTCGGATATGACCAACAATATCATTTTCTACTTGATCACTGAAAGTTCAATTTTGCGCTCAAATGAACCCACATGCGACGCTGTTGACCTATCTCTTAAAAATTATCGTTGAGTCATTCTGTACAAATAGCTGAAATAGTGATTAAGTCAATAGGCCTGTTGCACGCAGGAGATACGGCCAAGTGAATAGACTTCTTATGAGTAGAATCGATCGAAAATCACGTTGATCACATCAAAACAGTCTGAAATATACCCCTTAGTGCGTAATCTGCGTGGTTTGTAACATGCATTTTCAAATTTACCGAATCTGCGGGCAGTTTTCCATAATGACCGACAGGCAGGTTTGCCCATAGAGAAACCTAACCTAAATAATAAAAAAAATTCGCAAAATTTTTCTAGTTTATGATTATGTATGTATTCGGTTTCTGGTATCCCCCCCTCTTCTTTATTTATTTTCCAAACTAAATGCTTTAAATCTATTGAAATCTTACACGAGGAAAGTTCTGACAGAGCGCAAGACACTTGTTCATCTATGTTAGGTTTTTTCGAGTCTCACTCTGGACAAACTTGATTTTCTACCACTGCGGATAACTATTAATAATCGTGTTACAAACTAGTAGGCAGACTGCGTGCTTGGGAGTGGATTTTAGACTTTTCTGATGTGCTCAACTTGATTTCCGTGCGATTGTACATGCAGAATGTCCATTCACCTAGCTGTGTCTCTTACGTGCGACATACCCGTTCTGGTCGATTGTGGCCAGTCTCCTACATCAGCAGTAATTGCTGCAAATAGTTAATGTGATTGAGAGAGTGGATCCTCACGTGAATTCCAGAAGCTTCTGAAAAAGTATGTCCTCCTATAAGGGTCAAAATATATGGAGCCAACGGGTGTGTTAGGAGTGCAGATTAATAGATCTCTTATCTCCCTGCCTTCAACAACAATTTTCCTACTAGGTAACTGCTCCTCTGTAAATTACTTCTGATGTGCAAGCTTTCTTACATTTTGCACAAACTCAACAATGAACGAATAACATATTAGCTAATATCATACGTTATTCTCTCTTTTAGCAATCGCGTATCATTTGACAAATTTTGAAAACAAGATGTATAACTGATAATAATATTCAATGCAGAATTTAACTTTCATCCAGATTTAATCAAAAATTGTCAGAGAAATATTATATCGCTCAATACCGCAACATACGGCCTTTTTTTCTAGGAAGGTGGAAGGGCAAACAGGTTTTCGGAGGGAAGCCTTCCTCCCTGTATCTCTAAAAAAATTGCTTCTACTTGTGTTTTTGGTGAGTATATACGGTTGAAAAATATATTTGTATTTTTGCAAATGAGTACGTTTTCAAGGAACATTGTTAGGGTTGAAAAATTTACCCTTCTGAGAGAAACTTTTACATGGTAGAATGAAGACTCTGCTTGACAATAATCGGATGTATACATTCTAGCTCTTTCATGGTTTTCTATTTATTTCGAAGAATGTTTTTTCCTGGAAATACGTGTTCAATTTAATGCTGAATCTTCATAAAAAACTTTATGCTAAACCTGTTTTTTCTACTGCAAGGTGTCATCACACCCCTACTTATCTACCAACGCTGGCCGATGCCGTGTTTCTTCTAGTCTGTTGCCTGCCATCGTCATGCCTTTTCCAACCTTTTGGTATCACGCGATGTTTATCATCCGTTTAATCGGCACTCACTTGAACAAGTGGGTTGAAGTACTTTAGAAACACGTGCGTCTGAATAAAAAAGTTCGGCCTGCCACTGAACAAGGCTCCCCTAGTTGACGGACTTCAAGTGTTGCGATAAAATCAAACTTGGCGGTTCTCAGAGAATGATCTCTCTTTGCATAGTGTCAAGAAACTTCGCATGTTCTTACACGGAATCATTCAATGTGCGCTGTTTGTTTTTCTTTATGTACATATGTTTCAATGCATACGCAACAGGGCTATCACATTTTAAATTCGAGATTGTGTGACTAGAGGAATGCATAAAAGGAGTAAACGAGTGCTCTGGGAGTATATTGAAGGCTTCACCGAATCTAGTATACATGAACCAATCCGAATAAATTGATGTATGTAATGGAGGAAGATATCATTCAAGTCATGAGATAATTAAGGTATTCGAGGAGATCACTTGATGTTGTCAAATTTTCTGTGGAATTCTATCTGTCAAATACATCAGACACCTATGCTGCCGCGTTCAGATAAAGTGCCGTATGAACATCACAATGTTTCCAAATACTTTTCTACCATTTGGAAACAAAAATGTCGTTCTAATCGAAGGAAAATGAGCAACTCCCAGCAGCTCGTACAAATTTCTTTCTCTGTAAGGTAGAATCGAGTAATGAACTTCAAAATGCTAGACTAGAAATTTAAGACAAAAATTATCGTGTGAATTTCATATTGTCTCATGATTTCAGTAATTGTATTGCAAAGGATAAAGTTGCAAAATCTTACACTGGAAAAAAAAACTTATTGGATCTAGAGTCCAGACTCTTAAAAACATCGACAAGAAAAAGACTCGTGATTCAATCGGATTTTTGCTTAAATCAAGAACCAAGCCTCTTAATTTGAGCGGATTTCCTTTTGATTCAAGCAAAAATCTGATTGAATCAAGAGTATTTTTTCTTGTCAATGTTTTCAAGAGTCTGGACTCTATATCCAATGTGTCTTTTTTTTCCAGTGTGCCAAAAACGTGCGATATTTTTTAACGTTCCTAAACGAGGATTGTTCTATAAGAATTTTCGCTCGGACACTACTAAGTCCCCATCTTCTCAAAACGTCATATTTGCACAAACTATTCTCTTCGGTAACACAGCAATATAATCCGCCCCTCCCAGGTTCCTTACGGAATTCATAGACAACCCGCTTTCAAAACGCACCCATCAAAAGATTTGTTACTCCGATATAAAAGGACACAGCATAAAA